CTCCTCCTCCTCCTCCTCCTCCTCCTCCTCCTCCTCCTCTTCCTCCTCCTCCTCCTCCTCCTCCTCCTCCTCCTCCTCCTCCTCCCTCCCACCCTCCCTCCCGTGCCAGCGACCAGAACCACATACCAGCCACAGCCACCTGAGGCGTCCTGGGGCCTCATGGAGCCTCCTGGGGCCTCCTGGAGCCTCCTGGGGCCTCCTGGGATTTCCTGAGGCCTCCTGGGGCCTCTTGGGGCCTCCTGATGCATCCTGGCGCCTCCTGGGGCCTCCTGGAGTCTCCTGAGGTCTCCTGGGGCCTCTTGGGGCCTCCTGGAACCTCCTGGGGTCTCCTGGGGCTTCCTGGGGCCACCCTGTGGCATCCTAGAAGCTCCTGTGGTTTTGTGGGAACTCCTGGGCCCTCCTGGGGCTTCCTGAAGCCCTCCTGGAGTTTCCTTGAGCCCTTCTGGGGCCTCCTGGGACCTCCTGTGGCGTCGTGGGACCTCCTGGTTGGCCTCCTGGTTCATTCTGGGGCATCCTGGGACCTCCTGGGGAGGGAGACGGAATAATGGCGAGGGCCTTCGATGCCATTGCCATATACATACATACATATATTATAATGTTATATAAATAAATAAATAAATAAATAAATAAATAAATACATATATATATGTATATGATATCATATGCATACTCGTATACACATACGCGGTACATGTATATAATGTGTATATAGATATTTGATATATAAATGTGTCGCGTATGTATATTATAATTCATATATGTATATACGGGAGGGCCTTCGATGCCATCGCCATATACATACATACATATATTATATGTAATATAGATTATTAATATATATATGTATTCATTTGTATATATATATATATATTCATATATACATAGGACAACTGCGGAGAGCGCAGGAACATGCTAGGGGAAAATAGTGAGGGCTGTATTTATGTTGCAGCTTACCCCAGGGGTCCCCAGGATCTGCCCAGGGGTCCCCAGGATCTGCCCGGAACAGCCCGGTACACCTACGGGCAAGCCAAAGAGAGGGCCTCGTGGCGCCCCGAGACGGCCCCAGGGGGGGGCGGGTGCGTCTATAAGCCACCCAAATAAGTGAACCAAGACCTGCGCGTTCACAGGGCCGTCGGCTCACTTATTTTCGATGCCCAGAGGACCCCGGGACCTGCCGGAACCGCCGCGGACAGCTACGGGGAAGCCCAAGAGAAAGCCCCGGGGCGCCCCGAGACTGCCCCAGGGGGGGGGGCGGGTGCGTCTATAAACCGCCCAAATAAGTGAACCAAGACTGGCGCGTTCAGAAGGCCGTCGGTTCACTTATTTTCGGCGCCCAGACGTCCCCAGGATCTGCCAGGACGGCCCCGGACAGCTGCGGGGACCTTCAAGAGAGGGCCCCGGGGCGCCCCGAGAGGGCCCTGGGCGGGGGGCGGACGCGCTCATAAGCCCCCCAAAATAAGTGAACCAAGACCTGCGCGTTCAGAAAGCCGTCGGTTCGCTTATTTTCGGCGCCCAGACGTCCCCAGGATCTGCCAGGATGGCCCCGGACAGCTGCGGGGACCTTCAAGAGAGGGCCCCGGGGCGCCCCGAGAAGGCCCTGGGCGGGGGGCGGACGCGCTCATAAGCCCCCCAAAATAAGTGAACCAGGACCTGCGCGTTCAGAGGGCCGTCGGTTCACTTATCTTCGGTACCCAGAGGTTCCCAGAGTCTGCCCAGAACAGCCCAGAACAGCTGCGGGGAAACCCCAAGAGATACAAGAGAGGGCCTCGTGGCGCCCAGAGGCGGCCCTGGGGGTGGCGAACGCGCCCACAAGCCAACCAGAATAAGTGAACCAAGACCTGCGCTTTCCGAGGACCGTCGGTTCACTTATTTTCGGCGCCCGGAGGTCCCCAGGATCTCCCCAGAACAGCCCAAGACAGCTGCGGATAGCCACGAGAGAGGGCCTCCTGGCGCCCCGAGACGGCCTCGGGCGGGCCGAAATCCGCTGGGCGATTGGTCCGCGAGCTACACCCCCGAGCAGCGAGACGGCATCGACGGCATGATGGCCAAGGCTTTTGCAAGTGACAGTCAGGCGCGACGGGGCCGCTTGCAGAGGCGGTCGGCGAATGACCTGCGCCACACGCCGTTGTCTGTGACTTGGTCCGGCCACGCCACTTTCAGCGCTGCCAGGAAGTCTGCGTCGCTAAGTGGCGCCGCCTGGCTGGTTTCGCCAGCGCCCAGAGCGACCCTCACGCGCCCGCGCTCGGCTTCGCCGAAGAGGCCGGGGAGGGGCGCCGAGAAGAACTCCCGCAGCTCCGCGTCGCTGCGCCTCTCCCGCGGCTGGTTCTTCGACGAGGTCTTGTCTTTCCGCTCGCGTTGCTGCATGTACTCGCACATGTTGCGCTCGCGGTGCTGGCCGCTGTTTACGCCGGGCACGAACCGCAACACGTCGGTGCTCAGCGCGCTTGCGACCAGTTTTGCCCCAACCAGCTGTGCCAGCTGGAGTCTGTTCTCCACTCGGTTAAGCGTGCGGAGCTCACTGTCCGTAGCCCTTATTTTGGGGAAAATGACGTCGAGCCAGTTCTCGCCGTTTTCGCCACACTTGTAGCACGACGCAGCATCGAACGACGACGGCGCCTTTGCCTGCAGGTCTCGGGCAACAATGCACAGCCAGAAGCCATCGCGGTAGCTGTCTAGGTCCATCAAAGAAGAAATGTACTTGACGGTGGCTTCGCTGTCGGGCCTGGCGCTCAGCCACGGGCGATGGCGGAACAGAGATGGCAATTGAATCCGCCGCGCCACGTCGTTCATGACCTGAACGCCTTGTCGCTGCCACTGGCCCTTCTCGCCCCGGTGAGACTGCGGGAGCACGCGCGGCCCATAGCCTGTCCAATGCTCTTTCGGGTTCCACACATCCAAAAGCAAAGGCAAAACGAGCTTGGCGTTCCAGCTACTGGGCCGCAGCACATCGCCAACCTGCTGACGCCAGCGAGCTAAGAAAGATTGCGCGGCATCGTTGCGGTTACAACACATGCGAACAAACATTACCATAAACAGGAAATCAGCTACTGAGTCACCGTACAGGGCGTTCACAGGTCCCGAAAGCCACAGCGACGTCCGATCCAATCGGTAATCGGCACTGCCGTGGCGGGTGCCTTTGAACGAGGCGCTGTCCATATGCGCCGCCACACTCTGCAAGTTGGCAGCATGCAGAGGCGCGAGTTCAGGCGCTACCCGGCGCAAAAAAGACAGCAAACCAGCAGCGACCATCAATGTGTATTTCTGCAGACGCCCAGTTACACCGATCATACCAGAACATTGCCAACACACCAAACATCGAGCACCATCTCGCTGAGGATGCCTGATGTATCCATGCTCATTAAGAAACACACTGTCGTCTTCGCCGAGCTCGTACGTTTGCTTGATTGGTTCAGCACCACATATTACGCAATGTTTCATGCCCGCAAAAGAGGGGCAGATAGAAAGCGCGCAATGGAGAGCCAGAGCCGAAACGACTACTGAGGATGAAGAGGGGGGAAGTGCAGGCTGGATTGGGAGTGCTCCCAATTGCTCTGTGAGGGTAGCGCCTGGCCCAAAATCCGTTCAAAACGGGTCCCCGGACCCCTCCCGACATGCAAACACATTAGTTTTCCAAGCAGCGTCCAGCCCTGGCGACGAGGAGGGCCCCCCCCAGGCCAGAAAACATCACATCTCGATCCTCGAGGCTGGAGTTTCGAACTTCACAGTGAAACCTAGGCACGCTCACCCGAAGGGAAGCTCAAGTTCCTCCTCCTCCTCCTCCTCCTCCTCCTCCTCCTCCTCTTGAGGAGGTGGAGGGGAAGAGGACGAAACGAAAAAGGAGGAAGATAAGAAAATGGGGTGGAGACGAATGAAACCAGAGAGGAGGGGGGGTGGAGATCGGATGAAGTTGGAGTGACCTGCAACACAGGCTGGAGAGCGGGAGGAGGAAGGAGAGAGGACAGAGGAAGGAGGAGGTTTGCACCCTCCACTGCACGGGGCCCAGGCGACAGGCGGCGACGAAGCGGCGACGGTGCGGCGACGGGCGGCACCGCCTGGAGAAGCCGGCGGTTACCCCCGGATGGTTAAACCAACTAAGAACCCCTAGGTGCAAGCACTTGTTTGGGGAATTTGTTGCGGATGCTCTGGAGTAGGCTTCTTGGTATCCTCATGGAGTTTCCCTGGAGCCCTCGCGGTGTCCTCTTAACGCTCTCGGGGAATCACGGGAGGAGCCCGAGAGGGCTTCAAGAGAGCTCAAGAGTGCCACAAGAACCTACCCAGAGCACCCGCAACAAAATCAATTCTGTTGCGGATGCTCAGGGGACCTCCTGGAAGTCCTTTTGAATGTTTCCTGGAGCCTTCGCAGAGCACTCGCAAGACTCCAAGGTAGCCTCAGGAGGAGGAGGGGCAAGAAGGCCCGAGAGTGCTCCGAGACGACCCCAAGGAGCCCCCCCGAGCAACTGCAACAAATTTGATATTTTGTCGCGGATGCCGGAAGATCGTCCCAAGACGGCCCAGGAGGCCATCCAAAGGGCCCGAAAAAGATCCAAGAGTGCTCCAAGACGACCCAAGATGGTCCCAAACGGTCCAGATTCCCAGATCTCCAGGACCCCCCACCACCCCGACGGTCAGGAAATCAGGGACCCCCAAAGTTTCAAAACCTTTAAAACTTTCAAAAGTTTTAAAACTTTTAGGCGCCCTAAAACTTTTAAAACTTTTACAAGTTTAAACCTTTTGAAACTCTCTGGGCCCTGGATTCCCAGATCTCCAGGATCCCCGGCGGTTAGGAAACCAGGGACCCCCAAAGTTTCAAAACTTTTAGAACTTTTAAAAGTTTTAAAACTTTTCGGTGCCCTCAAACTTTTAAAACTTCTTAAAAGTGTTAAAACTTTTGAAACTCCCTGGGCCCTGGATTCCCAGATCTCCAGGATCCCCGACGATCAGGAAATCAGGGACCCCCAAAGTTTCAAAACTTTTAAAACTTTTAAAAGATTTAAAACTTTTAGGCGCCCTAAAACTTTTAAAAAATTTAAAAGTTTAAAAACTTTTGAAACTCCCTGGGCCCTGAATTCCCAGGTTTCCAGGACTCCCGAACTCGAGGCTCGAGCACCCTCGAGACCAAGGCCGACGGTACTTGCCATGTCTAGAGAGGCCCCAGAGAGTGGAGATGAGGTGGAGGAGCGAGGACGAGGAGGAGGAGGAGGGAGGAGGGCCGTTCAAACCCCCAAGATGATATCCCCTCATGTATGGTATCCCATGCGACCGTGCTCCCCCCCCCCATGTCTGGTATGTGGTTGTGGTCGTCCGTACCCCTCCCTCCCTCCCTCCCTCCTCCTCCTCCTCCTCCTCCTCTCTCTCCTCCTCCTCCTCCTCCTCCTCCTCCCCCCTCCTCCTCCTCCTCCTCCTCCTCCTCCTCCACTCCTCCTCTCCTCCCTCCTCCCTACTCCCTCCTCCCCCCCCCATCCCTACTCCCTCCCCCTCCACCTCCCTCCTCCCTCCCTCCTCCTCCTCTCCTCCCTCCTTTTTTCTTCCTCACTCCTCCTCTTCTTCTTCCTCCTCCTTCCTCCTCCTCCTCCTCCTCCTCCGCCCTCTCCTCCTCCTCCTCCTCTCCTCCTCCTCCTCCCTCCTCCTCCTCCTCCTCCTCCTCCTCTCCTCCCCCCTCCTCCTCCTCCTCCTCTCCTTCCTCCTCCTCCCCCTCCTCCCCCTCCTCCTCCTCTCCCCCTCCCTCCTTCTCCTCCTCCTCTCCCCACCTCCTCCTCCTCCTCCTCTATCCTCCTCCTCCCCTCCTCTCCTCCTCCTCCTCTTCTTCTCTCTCGCCTCCTCCTCCTCCTCCTCCTGCTCCTCCCCTCCTTCTCCTCCTACTCCCTCCTCCTCCTCCTCCTCCTCCTCCTCCTCCTCCTCCTCCCCTCCTCCTCCTCCTCCTCCTCCTCCTCCTCCTCCTCCTCCTCCTCCTCCTCCTCCTAGTATTATTGTTCTTCCTCCTGTTCTTCCCTTCTCCCTCCGCCTCCCTCTGACCTCGGTGCCTCCCCCTCGGCCAGGCGGGTCTCCATCTGCTCCTTTTGCTTGGCCTTCTTGGCGGCCAACTCCTGCAAGCGGAGGCGGACATGTCAGCGGATGTAATGTCCATACGGAGTAAATCCATTCGGAACGCTCGGCCTCCATCTGGGCTTCCTCCGTATGGCTTTAGCCTCTCTTGGGAGGAGGCTAAGTCCATACGGAATAAATCCACACGGGTTGTTCGGCCTCCATCAGGGCGTGCTCAGTCTGGACTTAGCCTCTCCTGAGAGGAGGCCAAGTCCATACGGGGCAAGTCCGCACGGAAGGCTCGGTCTCCATCTGGGTTTCCTCCGTCTTGTCTTAGCCTCTCCTGAGAAGGGGCTAAATTCATACGGGGGACGTCCATATGGAATGCTAGGTCTCCATATGGACTTCCTCTGTCTGGGCTTACACTGTCCTGAACAGGGGTGGAGAGGGTCGGCCACCGGGGCGAGCGGGAGAAGGCAAGCGAGCGAGCGAGGAACCGGTGCAGGCTCATGCCTCGCAGCGCGTGTGCCTGTGACTGTTTGGGCAGGGTGCGCGCGAATGTGTCTAGATAGCTCCAGGCATTGGAAGTCCATCCTGGATCATGTTTGACCCCTCACTCTCCATATGCCCTGCCGACCATACTTATATGTTTTGGCTATCGTCTCCCGTCCTGGTTTTGTCTTGCCTTCCCTTGCTTGCCGTTGCGCCCTCAACCCTCGTCCAAACAGGAGGGAAGAAAAGAGCGGAGAAAATGAGGAGGAATGAGGCAACAAGAGGGCAGGACGGAGGACATGGGAGGATGGATGACCAGGAGGCATGATAGATAGGCAAATAGGAGGAGAATATGACGGTAAGGAAGCAGGACAGGTAGGAATCAAGATGGAAGGAGGAACGGAGGAATTGACACACATTCGACACGTCCTCTGGAGGTCCCCCTCCTCCTGGCGCTCCTTCTCCTTCTACTCCTAACTTCGCCGCATCCTCCACTTTCTCATATTCTCCTCCTCGTGGGTCTTTCGGAGAACCATCGGCCCAGTCGCCAGCGCGCCTGGGTTGTAGTAAATATTTTGGGAGTTCGTCGGGATGTCGCGCAAGAGTTCTCGAGGGCGCTTCGAAATCAACGTCAAAGCCTGTTGGACATTATTTTGAAGCCTCTTGGGGCGCTTTGGGGGTTCTTATGGGGCCTCTTGGGGCCTTTGGGTGGCTCATCGGAGCATCTCGGGACGGAAAGTTCGCCTCGTTGGTTCGGGCTCCCGCTCTTGGGCCACTCAGGGGGCCGCATCTGGGCTCTCTCGGGCAATGTTGGGCGACTCTCGGGCGGCCCCAGCTGGCAAGGTCGCAAAGCTACAGCAGGCCCATATCGGCGAACACTCACATTTTCCCGAGCTGAACCTCTTGACGTCCTTCGCCCAAATTTGCGCGACGCGTCCCCGAATCGCGACGTCGAACAGGTCGACGGCGCGCATCTCCCCCGTTACCCAACGCTCGGTGACCCAACTGTCGTTCGGGTCGACGCAGCGCTCGTTTCGGACACCGAGAAGCTCACAGACATGCTTCAAGATTTTGGCCACATCCTTGACTCTGCCAGCGTAAATTAGAACCTGTTCCTCCTCTGACTTGCCTCGAGGGGTGGCGTAAGCAAATTCTTACATGGAGTGCAAGTGATTGAACGTGCGAATGCCAGACGGCGTGGCGCGCGCGGGCAGATGACTGCAAAAATAATCGCGAAAGTCGCGGATATGTTCGTCGGGCCGCTGCATCGCGGAGAAGTCGGGCAGTTATTCGGTCACGGTCCCGATGTTGAGGGCCCAGGCCGCTAGCTCACAGTAGACGAGCAGGGGCAGCCGCAAGCAAGCCATCGTGAGGTTCGGTCTCGTAGAGTAAATCGCTGGGGGGAAGCCTGGGGTGACTAGAGCCAAACTCACCTTGAGCCAAAATGCCTGCGGAAGGGCACTCCTGGGCTGTCTTGGGCCGCTCTTGGGGGCCTCTTGGGCTGTCTTGGGGCGGTCTTGGCAGCACCATGGGCTATCTTCCACGCCGCGAAGGCACAAAAAGCCGCATATGCTAAAAATGCACGTGCTCCTACAGGAGCACAGCAATTCTGGCGTGCTGGGCGCCTCTTGGGCGCGCTCTGGAAGGCCTCCCGGTGCGTCCTGGGCGGTCTCTTGGCACGTCTCGGGGCAGTCTTGGGCGTCTTGGAGCGCTTCTTCAACGAGGAGGAGGAGGAGGAGGAGGAGGAGGAGGAGGAAAATTGGACGTCTTGGAGCGTCCCTCTTGGGCCATCACCGTGGTTTTTGGGGCCCCTCCTGGCGCGTGTTGGAGGGACCCAGGTGCCCTGCCGCCGGCATAGAGTTCCAGGGTCTACCCGCAAGGCCCCCTGCCCTGGACCCCTTGCATGTGTATGTCTTAAGAGGAGGAGGAGGAGGAGGAGGAGGAGGAGGAGGAAAGCGGGGTGCGGACGGCGTGACGCAGGGGACCAGGGCTGTTTCAAGCACTGACGCCGCGGGGCGTTTTCATGGTATCTCCCAAGAGTGGCGAGGGCTGCGCGGCTTTCGGCACCGAGGCCGCAAAGAGTGGCGCTGGTCGATCGCTCCACATTGGATGAGAAACGTCTCAGGATCCTCAACCGTGCCAGAACACGACCCCTGGGACCGCAGTGCCGCGAATCCGCGTGACTCTTGCGTCCCGCGAATCCTGAATCCTGTCAGAATACCACGCCTGAGACTTCGACCATACGAACCCGTGAAACTGCTGTAAACTTTCAAGACGACTGTGCGCGTCGCTAGGGCGAGAGCCACATGTTGAAAAAAAACACCCTTAATCATTGAAATGTTGCAAATGTTTGAAACGAATGTGCGCGGCGCTGAGGCGAGCCACATTTCGAAAACCATCTGCCCTCCATCCTTGGAAATGCTGCAAACTAGGGAAACGAATGCACGCGGCGTTGAGGCGAGAGCCACAGCTTGAAAACCACCCGCCCTACGTCGGTGAAACTGTTGCAAGTGTCAGTCATCAGGATCCTCAATGGCGCCCGGCCCGCCCTGCCCACACGTCTGAGGGTGCGACAGGAAGGAGCTACCTATAAGGAAAAGGGACTGAGTGAGACAGAGGGAGAGGACGGAGTGGGAGGTCGACAACCAGCATGAGAAATCCGACTCTGCCTCGTTCTGACCCCTGAAAGAGTGATGGCGAGGGGCCGCACGCTCACAAGATGGAGGCCCCCTGCTCCAGCTGCTGCTGCTGAAAGAAAACGAGGAGGAAGAAGAAGAGAACGATGAGGACGAGGAGAAGGAGGAAGAGGAGGAGGAAGATGGAGGGGGGATCCAGGTTCTTGGGATGCAGATTAAAGGGGGAAGGCGATGCTTAGAAAAAGAAGGAGGAGGAGGAGGAGGAGGAGGAGGAGGAGGAGGGAGGAGGAGGGAGGGGGAGGGCCGAGGTTCGAGGAAAGGAAGAAGCAAGAGGGGGAGGAGGCTCGGCTCAGCTGTCCACGGAAGTCACCGCACCAAGTAGAAGCGGGGGGGAGTGCCGTTCTGAGGAAGTGGCAGCTCAAGGAGAGAGGAGGGAGGAGGAGGTGGATAACCAGAATAAGCCCAAAACGCAGCAACGATGCTGCAATCAACACTCCCTCCAAGTGCCCTCTTCATAGGGCCCTGCAAGAATACCACCAGCCCTGGAGGGCGTGAGTGGTTTAGATAATGTGTTTTCTGACCACCCTTCTTCCCCATTCGGGGAGGGGATGATTCCTCCCCCTACCCTCTACCCCTGTGTCTGAAGGGGGGGCGCCAGGGGGGTGAGGCCAAAAACGGCCTTGGCGAGCAAGCCCAAATCACCGATGTAACTAAGTTGTTGGCCACATGTTGGCCTCCTGGGGGGGGGGAATAATTAAGGAGCTCCCCTCCTTTGATCGATCTCCTCCAAAATGGCACCCGAGGCTCCCGAGGGTGCCCCAAGAGGGCCCCAAGAGGTGCCCGAGATGCCCCCAAGAAGCTCCCAAGAGACCCAAAAAAGGCTCCAAGAGGCCCCACAGAGGCACCCAAGACGCCGCAAAAGGCCCCCAGGGCTGCCAAGAGACCCCCGAGACACCCCGAAAGGGCCCCAAGAAGATCTCAAAAGAAATACGATGAGACTCCGAGAGGTATCCAAGAGGTCTCCAGACGTTCTATTGGCCCTCCTCCTCCTCCTCCTCCTCATCCTCCTCCTCCCCCTCCCCTCCTTCCTCCTCCTCCTCTCCCTCCTCCTCCCTCCCCCTCATCCTCCTCCTCCCCCTCCTCCTCATCCTCCTCCTCCTCCTCCTCCTCGTCCTCCTCCTCCTCCTCATCATCCTCATCCTCCTCCTCCTCTCATCCTCCTCATCCTCCTCCTACTCCTCCTTCCTCCTCCTCTCTCTTCCTCCTCCTCCTCCTCCTCCTCCTCACCTCCTCCTCCTCCTCCTCCTCCCTCCCCCCCCCTCCTCCTCCTCCTTCCTCCTCCCTCCTCCTCCACCCCGCCCCCCTCCTCCACCTCTTCCGTCCGCCTCCGCCTCCGCTTCCTCCTCAGCCTCCCCCTCCTCCTCCTCCTCCTCGTCCTCCTCCTCCTCCTCCTCCCCCATCCTCCTCGTCCTCCTCCTCCTCCTCCAACTCTCCTCATCCTCCTCCTGTTCGTCCTCGTCCTCTTCCTCATCCTCCTCTTCCGCCTCATCCTCCTCATCCGCCTCTTCTTATTATTAGTATTAATCGCACTAGTACTAGTGTTCGCCGTAGTACTAGTAGTAACAGTATTATTAGTATGCGTATTATGATTATTCGTGTTGTTATATTAGTAGCTTCGGTGTTAGTAGTATTATCAATCATAATACTTGTACTCTTACAATTATTCGTAATAGTGGACAGACTAGCATGAATAGTATCAGTCATATAGCTCGTCTTAACATTATTAGCAGTAGTATGCGGCGTGTTAGTATTGCTCGTCGTATTATGTGTAGTGTTAGTCTGCGTATTGTCATCATGGTTCGCATCATTATTCATAGTAGTATTCGTGTTAGTCGTGTTAGTCTTAGTCGTGCTCGTAATAGTATTAATGTTCG